AAAAAAAAAAGAAAAGAAAAATATTTTCTTATTTATTATTTGTGTATTACCTATTTTGTATAAAACACATAGAAATTCATCAAAATGGTTCAGATGCCCAGTAAAGAAAATATCTCTGCCTCTTTCATTATGTTATTGTCATATTCTTCATTTAACGTTGTTCTAAACCGTAATTAAATTATTAAATTGTCTGTGCTACGGACAGGAGGAGATGCAGTAGATAAGATATATTTTGTGTGAGTGATCTGACTTTACAATTATTGCCCTGTGATTACTATTCCCTGATTAAATGGGAAAACAAAAATTGTTTAATCAAACATGCTGCTCTGGTAAACTGAGATTGTTACACAAGCCTCTTACAGAGATAATCTGTTTCTCTTTTCGTAGCTTCAATTCAGTAATGGCCTCCCACCGACCCCTAAAGTACATGTGAGTCATCCAGCACTCCCTTTTCTCTTTATCTCTTCAGCTTTCACTGTTTTTCAGTAGATGCATCAACACACCTGGATTAACACAAATGTCATAGCAACTAAATTTGGACCATTCAAATTCAGCTCTGCTGCCATGATGTTGATCGTTGTTTCTGCTTTGCAGATGGGAGCTTGTTTCTCTAAAGTGTTTAACGGCTGTCCCCTAAAGATTCACTGTGCCTGTTCCTGGATAAACCCAAACACCAGGGGTAAGAAACAGTTCATGCAGAGCTCATGCATTCTCAAATTAAATGCTCCTAAATGACATAACTATAATGATTATGTTTTTTCAGCTTGAGCTTCCCTTTTGACTCTTTTTCAGATCAGTATCTGATTTTTGGTGCAGAGGAAGGAATTTATACCCTCAATCTAAATGAAATCCATGAGAGCACAATGGAACAGGTCAGGGCCTTTTTATTATGGTTTTCTTTTGCGTGGAGTTTCAAAATTAGGAATAATTCAGGCAGGTTTGACAATATAGATATGAAATATCATATAGTCGTATTTTTTTTAAATGCTAAAAATATGAAAATGTCATC